CCGAGAGTGCGGTAGTGAGTTCTGTGGGAAGTAGAGACCTAATCGATGACGCAAGTCTGGAGGTGCCTTTGCAGGAATCTGTACGTCGGCTCCAGATCGAGATCTGGTTCCAATCCGTGAACCAGACCTCAACTAATTCTCGGCTCGTGTCCGGTGTGGGCGACTATCTTGAAGTTTGTGAAGTTAAACTCATGGCCCGTTTCGTTGATGTGTCCAACTTGAGACAATTCGCCACCCCATCGAAAAACCAGCTAATGTTCATGTATGAACGGTCTAAGCATGTGTTCAGTTTGTTCTGTGAGTTACAAGCACGGCTTAGGCATGGGATGCGATACAATAATCCAGACTGCTCTTTCGAATTTAGTCGGCCTTTGATTTTGACCAAACTTCTGCGCATGGAAGCTTTGCTCCCAAAGGATAACGACGCTCTAAAACTTATTGAGAGAAGCGGCTAATAAGACCACGGGAAACGCTACCTCGACTACGAATACCCCTTTACGATAAGAGGAACTTAAATCAATTAGAATGTTATGAAGACTGGTGGTGTATTTTTAATCCTTTAAACTTTTATGACCCGACCAATTACCGTAAAATCATCGATTAGTGTAGACTGGATAAAAGGTCCGATGTCGTTAAGATAATAAATGCAACTTACGCCGCTTGGGGGGTTCTTATGTTGAATTCGCATACAGAAATAGCCTCCGGGCGATTGTGAGGTGCTTTCCTTTTTAGGCCAATTCTCTGTCATGGACCCATTTGAATGCGCAGAATTACCGGAATCCGTAGACTTCGTAGAGACGCTGGCTTTGTCATCTAAAAGACACAAAAACGTAGCGGTAGGCAAAACAAGGCAAAGGAAAGATACAGTCTCTAAAACAAGAGTTTTCGAGGAAACTACTATTTTTTGGCGGGGGTTACTTGGTTAGCTGACGTGCAGATTCTGCTACCTCTACCAGAGAGCGAATAAAGAAAGGTCCAGGATGCACATCCAAATTCTGGCGGATTTTAAGC